AGTTCATGTGTGGATAGATTGTAAAAGTGCCTTACATATAGAAAATTACCCAACAAGTGTTTGCTATTTACCATATCTCTTTTAAAGATAGGTTGCTCTGTTTAAGGTCTGTAAAATTACATAAAAATTAAAGGATAGAATGTTGTGAGGATATGTATGCAGAGAAGGAAATATGAGATGCCTTTATTCAACAGCAAAAAGTAAGGTATTGGAAGTAGAAAACTTCAGGATTATATGTGTTCCGTAAGACAGAAAATATTGGAGTGTTTTTTTTTTTCACTTGAGAGTGTCATTGAAGATTCTTGAATGGGATGAAAATAATGATTACAGTGCTGTTTAAGAAGATAATTCCAAACTAACATGGATAATATGTGCTGGCACAAAGATATTTAAATTTTATTTTCAAACTGCAAGCCCACCTGGGAACGGAGAAAAAAGCATGCTGACCACCCTGGTTTCCTGCCCCCAACTCTACTTCAAACACAGCTGCTGTCTACACATTTTGACATTAGCTTTTAACATATGGTTTTGTTTAAGCAAAAGGTTTAGTAGTCTTTAAAGAAATTTTAAGCCACCAATTTAGAGTGGCATTCCATTATAAACATTACCATATCTATAGATTTAAAATGGTAAAATCCCAATTACCATCTTAGAGAGAAAGAAATTTTCTTTTTGCTAAAGACTCTTCCCAGGGCTCTCTTCATGTCTCTGTTCCTCAGGCTGTAGATGAAGGGGTTCAGCATGGGGGTCACCACAGTGTACATCACAGCCATGACAGTCTCCTTCACAGTATTATGATTCGTAGATGGGCATAAGTGTCCCATAATTGTCCCATAGAAGAGAGACACCACGGACAGGTGGGAGCCACAGGTGGAGAAAGCCTTCTGGATGCCCCCAGCAGAAGGGACCTTGAGGATGGTGGAGACAATTCTTGCATAGGACATAATGATGAGTACAAATGGGATGACAAGAATGAGCCCTCCCATGAAAAATATCACCAACCTGTTGACCCAAGTGTCAGAGCAGGCCAACTTCAACAAAGTAGATGTATCACAGAAAAAGTGAGGAATCACATTGTCAGCACAGAAGGACAGCCTGGCCATGAGCAGGGTGTGCAACATGGCATGGGCAGTGGTCAGCACCCAGGACAGCGCCAGCAGAGACAGACAAACCTTGGGGCTCATGATGGTGGTGTAGTGCAGAGGGAAACAGACGGCCACATAGCGGTCATGGGCCATGACCACAAGGAGGAAGCTCTCCAGAACTCCAAAAAACAAATAAAAATACATCTGGGCCAGGCAGCCTGCATAGGGGATGGAAGGGACATGGCTCTGCATGTTCTGGAGCAATTTGGGCATTGTGACAGAGGAAAAGCAGAGATCAGAGAAGGACAAGTTACTAAGAAACAAATACATGGGTATGTGTAGATGGGAGTCCAGATGAATGAGGACAATGATGAGGAGGTTCCCCAGGACAGTGGTAAGATACATGGCCAAGAATAGGGCATAGAACAGGTTTTGGTGCTCTGGCTGGATAGGCAGGCCCAGGAGGAGGAACTCTGAGATGACGGTTTGGTTCTTCTTCATCATTCTGTGACTCTGTTGTCTTCATAAAGAATATAATTCTCCTAGGCCGG